ACAACAATTCATCAAGAGCTCTCATTAGTGGGCTCCTATTTAACAATAATCAGTGATTGAGATTCGAAGAGGCTGGGAGATGAGGCGCTGTCGGATTCACCTTCCTTCAATTAACTCCTGAAACAGAATAATCAGCTTCATTCCCCACTCTGCATTTCAATTCACAGCATCTCTCCGTATCATCCTCCCCCCCCCTGCCCCTCCCATCTTTCCCTTCTCTCCCTCTCTGCCTCTCTTCCTCTGCAAATGAAAGCAAATACAGAGACTCCATCTTGCTATCTAAACCCCAACCATCTTCCTTCCCTCATTCCATCTTCCAAGATCTGTTGCTACTTTTTCCTTAATAGCACTCGTTTGTATCATGATCTCTTCTAGCATCCACATCAAGCGCTCCCCCAGAAAAAAAAAAAGCTATTCTTTTCCCACTTAGGGGCTGAGATTCGTCTTTCAGATTCAGCCAAAGCATGTTGTCTTATTTCCAGCACATTTCTTACTATGTCATTTTTTTCTGAGAATGCCCTGCATCAAATATTTCTCTAAAGCTAAATCCTTGAAAATGGTTAAGGGCTTTTTGGTAATGGGCACTAATTAGATTTCATTTTGTCTTTCAACATATATACTGAATGATATTTCTTTTTCAGTTATTTCACGCAGATTATTCAGAGATGCAATTCAAACCAGTCTTATGATTCCGTTGTTACGCAATATGCAGACAGGTGAAATACTGCACTAGCCATGCTGAGGCTATTTTTTAGGAGAAGAAGAGACATCCTGGGTTGTACTATGACATAGTTACACACAGGGATCCTGCATTAAGGGCTAGGCTATAGGCTCGTGTTTGGGCTGCCCCCATTTCAACCACAAAAATGAGCAACACTCTCTGTCTCCCACTGTGTCAGAGCTGCCTTGAGTCCTGCTAATTAACTGACAGCCAGGACACCTCACCAAACAAAGCAAACCAGGAAGACACAAGTCCAGGCTGCAAATCTGCAGCGAGTAGCTACCAGCTTCTGAAGATGGAGCCCCTTTCCTGTCACAGCAGTTGGGTGAGGTTGAGGGTTAAGCGAAACAATAAATGCTCTTTATTCCATCACCATGCAATTAGTCTAATCAGGAAAAATATAGGAAAGAAAGCCAGCGCTTCTTTTTTTCAGACTAAAAGTGGTAAATTAATGCAACTAGCATGGAAAGTTACAAAAACAAAAACACCAGTGATTTACATTACAAAGTGGACTGTTTCTAGACAACTGCTTCATTAGGCAACGAGAGGCAAGCACCAAGAGTATCCCAAGGTCACTTTTAATTTAGACCGCCTAATTGGCAAACATAGTTCAAAATGGCTATCATCTAGCCAGACTCAGAATTAATGAAGCACAATTATTTTCATTACCCCTATCTCAGACAGACAGAAAATGAGACGTAGAGAGTGAAGGAGTGAGAGAGCAGGCGTGCAAGAGAGAGGTGGGGAGAGAGAGAGAGGGGAGAGAAAGCACATCTTTATGCACAGTCGGCAAGAAATAAAAGTCACCTATTTCAGAATTCATTAGGCTCGTCTGCTAGAGACACGGGAAAGGATAGAGTACCTTTCAATTTATTTCCACTTGTTATAAAAAAAGGAGCTGGTTTTAATGCGCATTATATTAGCTCTGCTCCTCTCTCCTGCCTTTTTGAAAAGCTCAGTGCATTACCTCTATAAAAGAAAAAAAATATTGCTGCCTTACATACTAATGTGTTCACCATTTCTTTTCTGCTTGTGGTATAGCCACAGTAGGATGACTAGCAAAGCTGTCCTGAAAGGCGCTATATAAAATAAAGGTTATGATGAAACTCACTAATTGTACCAGCATTATTTAGACTGGAGGGTTCTAGAAAGATGTATATGTGAATTAATTTATTAAATGGCAAAACAGGCCTGGATTTATATATTCTTTTTCCAATTAAGAAGGCCTCCTTATTAGAGAAACTTGAGACGCAATCAAAGCACAGAAGCGGAGGAAAAATAGAAAGATGATGCAAGAATTGCAGAAAAATAAGAAACACTTTCATGAATACCAAAGAAAAACGAAATAAACATATTTCTGCAAGTTATTTTTCTGAGAACAAGACTTCAACAAATTCATTCCAGGATCACTGAACGCTCCAAACAAAATTCCTGCATTCTGTAAACTTGGAGCCCTCTCCTATTTATGCAAAACTCATTTTGTGCACACAAATTTGGCCACAAACACAAAACTGGATCATAAACAGACCTGAAGAGTCTGAAGAGGGAAAATGTGAAATGCATGTGTACATCTAATGAATTGAAGACTTATTATGTTGTTCAGGGAGCATAAACCAGAATAAGCCAGACGTAAAATGTGTTAGCCAGTTTGGGAAAAGTGCTTTTGTAATGGAAATTACTTGCCCTTTCATTTAATGATATTCAATAATTTCATTTATACATCTAAAAACACTTCGCATACAGGATAAAAGTCTGCCACCTACTGGTCCACCAAAATCACTGACAGCCTCTCTCACTTTCTGAGAGCTAGGAGATCAGACTACCAGGCTGTAGCACTGATGTCAAAGCATACTGACCTCAACACATACTGTCAATACTCCTCACACAACCAAATCAAACAGAGGTTCAATGGTTAAGTTTAATGTTGAATATTTGAAAAATGAAGAAAGTTTTGGCTATTATTCCTCAACACTTCTATTTATTAAAAGGATGAGATTATTACAAAAAAGGAAAAAAACAACACCGATTTTTTAGAGGATGAAACGGGTTCATTAAATTTAAATTATTAAATTAAATAATTATTATTACATTTATTAAATTGTCATGTTCTGGGGTTTGCTGGACATCAGACTGCAATACTCCTGACAAAGCAGTTACATCCCCCTTTGAGGTAAAACAAGAAATACCTCATAATAATATCCGACTTACAATGATAGTTGCCAAAAGGCCTGGAGATATTTCACCATTAACACTTTTCTTTGTGTTTTGATTAAGTACAGTATGTTTGCCTTAAAGGTTATCAGTTAGGGAGAAGAGGAGAGATGAGCCCCCTTTCACTGTTCTCAAGCCAAGTGAGCAAAAGTGTGATTCATCTCCAGACCGCAGTGAACCTGTGCTGAGAGTGTAGGCCAATATGTGATGCTCCCACTGCTGTTCGTGTTTGCTTTCTGACAATGACCGGGAGTGGGTTTCACTCATGCGAAACAGGAAGGATATTCCTCTTTTTGACACTAGTCTGGACTAAATCATACACATCCTCTGCAAATAAAGACAGACAAAAAGGAATAACTATGGAAATGACTCTAGTAGTTTGCACAACTGAACGACTATTAAAACAATCCGCAATAAGGCAAAAGGTTTATGTGCATTAAAATATAAAGATAAATATGGGTTTGCAGAAAAAAAGTGTGCTAATGTATGCCAACACATATGGATGTTTCTTTTAGATCAGTATGTCTATGACTGCCAAATGCTTTACATATCTCAAGGGGGATGAAAGTTTGGAATAATCCTCTATAGTTACCCTTCCCACTGTTTGTTCATGCATTCACTTAAAGGCTTCACACACATCAAAAACTTCTCTTTAAATGTCAAATGACAATAAATGTCTTCTGTCATAATAATTTATGTAAAAGGCATTGCAAGGGCCATATTCAGGTAGTAATCTGACAAAATCACTCAATGACATTTCACTCTGCAAAAAAGAGATCAATGGTACTTTATCTTTAAAACCCAATCTATTTCAGAAGTTTTAGCTTAACATTTGTTTTTGGGTTAAGACTGCGTTGACAACTGAAAAATATATGGATGCATTGCATTGCACATACATAAATCTGGAAAGTCCTAACTTTGTAACTAATGTCCCCTAACTCGGGACATTTACTTTCTGGGTTTCTGAAAAACCACCAACATGTCAATATGAAAACGTACAGTATGATTAGATAATGACCTGTTTGTTTACTCAGGTTTTAGAAACCAGAAATTATTGGACTTTGCAGAGAACTAAAGCCATTCATGTCACACTATTAGTCTGTGCGAGTTTTTATTTCGTTCTATCAACGTGACACGTTTCAAGGACATCCTTCAGAAATTCCCCACGTTCTGCCTCCGGTCTCACTGTCCTTCTGTATTAAACCCTTTCCTCACAGGATCTATACCACATACCCTGAGCAAGGAGGGGTCTATTTAACAGCCTCACAAGTCTCATTATCCTTGTTGTACTTCACTGGTGAAACAATATTGCACCACCAGACAAACAAAATAAAGTGCTATTTATTTTATTATTTTTTTCAGAGCAACCCAACATCTCTATGCATGATGATCCTGTATTTACTTATTTACACAATGACGTGTAATATAAAAATCTTAGATTGTTCTGACTTTGATATATCAAAACTCCACAATTCAAAACATTTTTTTCAAAACTAATTTCACAATTACACTGAGATCTAGGAAATAAAGAAGTAAATTAAACTAAAAAACTAAAATTAATATTAGTGCAACCTATCAGTCTAAAAAGTCTTTAATGATAGTTTAAAGGTTTTATCTGTCATTTCTGGTTGATCAAATATCTGATGCCACTTTCAGACACTTAGAAGGAAAGGCTTCATGCAGAAAACACAAACTAAACTATCAAATTCATCACTATTTGAGTTTGTTTTTTTTTTGCTAGAAACTGTCATGATGAATTATTTCAAAGACAAGGATGGTCAGTTTTGATGCACAGTTTAAATCTCTAACTCGTGACTGCAAAATTAGGATAAAAATGAAGGGTGGCTGTTCTTCAAAAATATCACGTTACAGGCACAAAACAAATTAATCTTTTAATTTTAACCATAAACATTAAAAATGTTAAACAAATAAGTCCATATTTCAGAAAAACGTGGCCTAGATGGTTTAATGAATACATTAAAAAACCAAAAGGAAGAGAGTGCTCTACAGGTTGTGTGAAATAGCCCTTAATGCAGGAAAATAATTTAACACACTAAAACCAAAACTGGAAAAACCCATTAAATTTGCCAAGAGGGAGACTGTAAAGAATATAGCAACAGAGGCGAAAAACAATGAAAATCATTTTCTTGAGCACTACAACAGCAGAAGAGTAATTTGTGACATAAAAGGAGTTTAATAATAGAAGATGATCATGATATTGTAAAAACGTTAAATGAATTTCACACAGTTTTTAAAACAGAAGATGCCAAATACATACCCCATGTTACAGAAAGGACCCCAGCAGCACTGGGTAATTTCGGATCAACCAATGCTGAGGTTCTGTACTATTCTAAGAAATTTAAAACTCAGTAATAGTATTTTCCCAGTCATACTTAAAGAAATGAAGGGTACTATTCACAGATCCCTAGAATTATTTCAGCCCTCACTCACAATGGTTGCAGTACCTACAGATCAGAGAACTGCATATATAGTATAACACTGAGTAGGTAGGCAGGTGGGCCGACTAGGTTTTGACCTCCTCCTGAACTTCTGTTTGAAATTCCATAAATAGAACAAGTCTATACCAGGAAACTATAAACCAATCGGTCTAACTTCTGTTGCTGGGAAAGCTATGGAAGCTACCGAGCTAAATAAGAAGCCTGAAGCCTTTGCAGGCTACCCATGCTGACGCAGCTACCCACCTGAACCAAGGTTATACAGACACGTTGGGGGAGCAACACTTCTTTAGTGTAGAACAAAGGGGACTGAGAGGAGATTTGATCTAGTCTATAAAACCACATCTAGACTTGGTTAGGCACGGGGACTCTTTTACAGGTAGTAGTGAAACACAGATACAAGGTGGGGAGCAAAAAGAGGATTCATCCGGGAAGGTGAAAGGGAAACACGTCTTTACACAAACAGTTCTGGGCACCCGGAGCAGGCCTGCCAGCTCTGTGGCTCCGGGGGCCAAACTCGGGGCCCTTTTAGAAATCGGGAGATTCAATTTCAGATTCTACTCGACTACCAAACAAGCGAGACGAGCCGAGCGGCCTCCTGTCATTCCCAGCCTTTCTTCGTGAGCTCGGCAGGTGCGCGTTAAGAGTCGCTCGCCGCGCGACTCCCCCAGTGGAGAGCTCGGCGAGCGGGGCGGTGAGACTCACCGTGGCGATGAGCTTTTCCACGCAGTCGGGCGCCACGCTGTGGAGGTGGGTGAGGTGGAACTGCAGGTGGATCTTGTTGTTGAGCATGTCCTGGCACAGCGGACAGCGGAACATGGGCTGGACAGAGTGCTGAGTCATCACGTGCATTCTAATGCGGTTCACGTCCGTGTTGCTGTACTTGCAGTAGGGGCACTGGTACATCTGTCGGACGCAAAAGAGCAAGAGTCAAAAAAGGGTGGGGGGGGGGTCCGGTCGGCACCCCCTGCCGCGCCGGCCGGGCGGGGAACTCCCTCTCCGAGCAGACAGGAAGGGTGGGCCACCAGCACAAAGACCGAAGATTGCGGCTGAGAATCAGGCCTCCCTGGCAAGATACTTCAAAGAGTTGTTGTCTGTCAAACGTTCTATTGATTTTCCACCTTTTGCGCAATTAACAATGCAACCACAGCGAAAAAAATAATAAAGCAAAAAGGCTACACAGTGATGCAGAATGCATAGCAGACGTACTGTATTCAAATGTAGTAAAACGCTTAGCTCAGCACTTTTTTAATGAATGCCTTGCTGTTTAATATTCCATAAGGTACACAAAGAGTTTTTTTTTATTGTTGATAGCCTGATAGGTGGTCAGCGTAGCTAGTCTACTGCTCCAGTGTTACAAAATAAAGAGAAAACTATTATCTGTAAAAAAAGGTTCGTCCATTGTGTGTCTTATTTCGGACATGAGCTAAAACGAACCTCAACTGGAAATCAAAACTTGTAATAATCTAACTTCTTAAGAGGCAGGCTAATACATACATTACATCACTGAATGGTGTTGATTTCTCTTATGTGCTTATTAAGATCAGTGTTAGACATGGACTTCGCTGTAGGGTCTTCCCTGGGTGGTCTCACCTGCTCGGCAGCGCCCTTGTCAGCTGTCCTTGGACGCTTAGAGGAAAGGGGAGCCTCTGTTACCCCAGACCTTGATGAAGGTCTTTTGGAGGGGAGTGAGGAATCTGCCTGATCCTTCTCCGCCTGGCTGGATACTGCTGCTGAAGTGACAAGGAGAGGGCAATTCAAAACCAGGCACACACATGGAAGTCAGCACATCAGTCGATCAATACATTCCCTGCAAGTTAGGACTTAAAAACAAATTGTTATAAGAAGAGATCATATTTACTGAGAGTCAGGTATAGAAACTTTTAATCAACATAGCCTCCTACCTTCTTCTATCTTTATCACACAAATGTAAAAGAAGTAAAAGAAAAGGCTTTCGAGTTCTTAAGTTTGACTCAGTTCTCTTTGACTGTTTGAAGGAATGGATGAGTTATACCAATGCTGCTGAAAGATTCATGTAGCAAATAGAACAAACACATACTTGAAGGTAAACACATCAGCATCTGTCAAAGAAGTGAGCTGTTTTCTTGTTCACTAACATGATTGAATGTTGCATTTGTTTTGCCTTTTCAATTTTTTGTTTTTTTTTTCCAAATAAGTTCAGTTTCAGGTCAGGTTGTTTCATCTTCTCCTGTCCTTTTGGTTTTAATTTTTAGAGAAACAGCACCATCTACGCCAAGATTTGGTAGAACAGGTTTAGTTTAACTCCAACACACACAACACCCCCTCCTTCAAAACAAACAGCACAGGATACAAACTGACCCTTACCAGGAATAAGCGTCTTTCAGATAATAGATGGAACAACAAATCAACAACAACAAAAACAATTTAGAATTATAAATATATGATTTTATATTACAGTCGAGTTATAATTTCCATCTAAACCCAATATACACCAGAGAACATTACAACTGTCAGTAAAGTCCGTGTACTGAGCGGACAAACACAGGATCTTCACAAGACTTGCACTCCTCAGCTATTTTTAACCTTTATTTTACTGAGGGGCATTTAAACAATTAGTACTCTTAATAAAAGGTATCCTAGCAACCTCTTGTCCCTGTGTACAGTATTTAATGTAAACTGCCCCTTCAGAAGCTGCAGAGGATATGTTAACTACAAACTGCATTGAAAGTGAATGGCCAAAGCTAAGGATCTAATCTAATGACTAGAAAAGAGGTACAACACAGAGCTAATTTAATTAATCTAGCACACAAATATGAAATTCCCACAAAGCTGTAGGAAGCTTGTAATACTTGACTATGGTGTTTGCTTCAGTGTTAAAACAGTTCTGGCGCAAATTGGTTCTTCAGCTAAGAGGGGAAAGGAGGCCAAGCGACCTAGATGTTAGATCTGAAGCAAGTGGGGGAGAAACAGAAACGCAATTTAGCCTGGTAGTTAGAGCTTAGAAGTTGTGAAGCCAAATATCCTTGGTTTCAAATCCCACTGGAACCACTGACCTAGAGCTTGACCCCTCAGGGTAAATCTCTACACTCTTTTGTGCCTATACAGCAGTGAGTGCCAGTGCAACTCTTGACTTAATTGGAAATTTTTAACCAGCTAAGCTTACTCAACACATCTCAGTGGGCTACGTGGAGTGTGACAAGAGTGTTCAGCTCCCTGCTTCCCGAGCCACTTCAGCATCTTTCAACTCAGCCAGATCCAACCCCATTCCTTCACCGGGCATGGTGGCAAGGTGACACTAGAAACGATGGCCCATGGCTTGTAATCTGTCCACTCTGATACTCATTACTCACGTGACCAAGACGAGGTTTTCGCCACTGTAATGCGCAATAACAACTAACAACTGCTGTAATCAGAAAGGGATGGCTAACGAGGTTTTCTTGAAAGTTTTGTTAATGAGCCCTTAAAGCTTTTCTTAATAATAACAAAACAAATTCACTCGATCATATAAACTGAATTTTTTTTTTCCAAATCCAGATACATAGCAGGCTAGAACATTTTATTTATACACCACTCATTCCTGTACTGTTGGGTTCTGTCTCTACTGTGTTGCTTCACTGAGCAAGTGAAAGAAGGGTGAGGCAATTTAAGTAGACAACAGGACACATCATGTAAATAGAAATGCTGTTTAATTGAGAGAAGTCTTGGACAAAGTGACATGGGCAATGGAGGATAGGGATGTCTTTCAGAGATTTGAGAGAAAGCTCTCAGGGTGCCTGAAATCCGTAACTGCCACCACTTCTCTCAAGCACTGCATTCACAATGCATTCGTCACATTAACACAAACATGCAGAGAAACACGGACAAACTCTCCACAAAAACGGAAGTCTAGCAAACTGTGTATTCACAACAAATGGTTTAACACTGCTGACTGATAATCCTACCTCCCAAAAATTCCAACCCAGGTTAATCCCAGTCAAGGAAAAATTGTTTGTCGACCTAAGACTGAAGGTAATAGAAAACTGTCTATCTAAACCCTGACTGCACAGCACTTTCTGTCATGCTGGCAAAATAGTTCACAAGTCTACCCCTTTTAATTCAGCCAGTGCTTCATTAACAAAGCATTTCTGGTGCACCTCTCCTGCTGTTCAACAACACGTTGCTCGCAACGCGATGCTGCAGCATCTGAGCACGTCATCCACTTCCCACTTCGAGTGAATGGAAAGTAGAGAAAAAGATCTGACAAAACAAAAGAAAACCACAAACGGCAACACGTCACAACGGAGGAGCAAAAATACCCGCTAAGCCTCCGTCGTAAAGTACCTAAATCCGCATGGAGCCAGAACCAGTGTGCCCGATCAGTGCTCAAATGGAAAGAATTTAATGGGAAACTTAAGAAGGTGTCTTACTGGCCCTTAACGAGGTCATAAAGAGTTAAATTTGGCCTGATTTGTACAGTCCTGGAAGGGCAAATTGGGAATGGGGGCTGTGGAGGGGGGCGGGTTAAGCGGCGTTGACCCACGCTCCTGCTCCAGACATTAAAATGTCAGCTCCAATCAGGGCACAGACAGCTGAGCTGATTACTCAGTGGGGGCCCTCACTTCGTTAGCGCTGCCTGCTGGATCTCCCAGAGACACCGGGCTGACGGAGCGATGGGTTATTAGGCCCAGTCAGACCCAATCCCATTAAACACATCCACCAATAAACAAAGGAAACGTTAAACAAAAGAACCTCCCACTCGGAACTGGGGTGAAGTGATAAAATTAACCTTTCCTCTCTTGCACTGTCCTCACTCCGCACTGGGCTGCCTGCTGCGATAGGAGCACAGGGGTCTCCCGTTTCTTTTCTATCTTCCTCTTCACATTTTTGAAAGGTTATCCTTTCATTATACTGTATTATTCTCAGTGCAGCGGTGAATCTGCTGGCTGTCATAACCCCACTGCTGAAATCTCAATAGTGCATTTAATGTGCTGGTGATCCCTGCTTTTCATTTTCTGCAATGCGGTACATTTCCAGACCCTCAGCTCCCTAAACTGTGAGCCACTGCTGAATTTATATGAGATAAACTGAGACTGCTGGTTCTCAGACCTAAACAACAGTAATGAGTTTCGCTGTTGTCTTTTCTCACTAACAGAGAGAAGGGACACACTGGACGTGTGCTTATGTGGACAACCTGTGAAAACCCATTCAGAAGCAGCGGCAGTCTGAACAGTGTGCTGGGAAGACAAAAAGAGGTTTTGCTTCGCCATCAGCTATACACAAACCGTAATACCGTAATACTGTATATTGCATAATCTTCTTTAAGAATGATATATATTTGCTCTATAAGCAAAATAAGCAGCAAAATAATTCATTTGTAACATTAGTCACAGATTTTATCTTTTTGAAAACAATTGAACTTATCTAAATGAGCCCATAAAAACACACCACCCAAAAGCTACAGTTATGACATGATTTATGGGAAAAAAGAAACACGATACAGAAGAAAATACATGCTCCCAGATAAATATACAGTTTACTGAGAGGACAAAATGACTATCTGAACTACTTTTATCAATCCAGACTGAATGGCTTTCTAATTGATCTGCAATTAGCAGACAAGCCAAGCACCAGCATATTTATTTTGCCTGTTCATTTATTGAGAGGGATCTTAGATGGTGAAAAACACATTGAGCTCAATACTGGGCTCACTTACCAAACAGCTCCATCCATGAGCTGTGCCTTCAATTGACACAGCTGTTTAGGACACCATAAATCACCTCAGATGGATTCTTTTAAACCTAATACCATTCTAATACCATAGAGAAAATAACCAAGAATTGATTTAGTATTCTGTTTTTGTTCTTAGGGACTTTTAAACAAACAAAACTGGGAACAAGCTTAGAAAAGATAAAAAAGGTAAAAATAAAACAGTCTGTACATGCAGTTTTCTGCTCTGAAGACACTGTCTAGATATATTATCCCTCTTCCACTGCTGGGAAGTGTGTAAGCAAGGCAAACTTTGCATGTTTTTGAGATTCAATTGCATTGACCATGTCAGAACAGTTCATGTTGGAAAATACTCTGGGAAAGTACTCCCTCTTTGTTGTTCAACATTTTACATATGTCAGTTTCAGCATAAAGGGAAATACTGTTATTAAGAGCCCCATGAATTCACTTGGCTGAGGAAGCACAATTTAAACCTTCACTGCTGTTCTTGAATTCCTGGAAAATGTCACACTTGTGAATTGCCCTTGAAAGGTAATTCCATGTTTAATGTAGTGCATAAAATGACACAATCAGGCTTTTTCATATTTCAAATTTCACCTCCTTCCTCCTTGTCCCATCCCTATGAAAGCCTAATTTCCCAACTATAACATACTGCATTTTCAAAGACATGTAATTAAGTCACATGCTCTGACCCTAGGTTTCTAGTCCACAAAACAGTCCTACATAAAGAACACAATGTAAGAAATTAACAGGCACACACGTCATGTCTCTTCCTGGTCAATATGATGCATTACACATTGATGAACACGAAATTGAAATATTCTGTTTTCCCCGTCCTTCCTCTTTCATTGCTGCAAATAAAAAAAAACAGGAAACCAGAAACCTCATTTCCCACCTTAACCTTATTGACACAATAAGTTACCCTTCCAGATCGGAGCCATAGCTGATGCCCTCCTCATCTGCCTATATACAGTACACTCCTCACAGTGAGAATAAACCTAATCTGACAGGCTGAGAGAATCAACTTCCATCAAACAGCACAGGA